GGAGGAGGAGGGAGGGAGGAAGAAGAGAGAGAGAGAGAGAGAGACGGGGAAGCAAGGGACACAGAGAGAGGAAGAGAAGAGGATGGTCCGGTGTAGCCGGCGGGCACACATCGTCTCCTCTCCCTCGCCAATCGGCGCGCGCGGCGTGGGGCGAGTTTGAGGTAGGGGGCCGCACGACGCACAGCGGTGGTGGCGGTGGCGTGCTGCGGCGGTGGCGGCGGCGGTGGCGGCGGCGCGGCTGCCAAGGTATTTAAGGTACCGTGAACCGGCGGCGCACGAGTAGTTCACTTCTGTTCGGTGCGGTGTCGCGGTGATTTTGAAGGGGACAGAGGAGAAAGAAAAAGGGATAAAGAGGAAAATATCGCACACACGCGCAGAGAGAGAGAGAGAGAGAGAGAAGAGAGAGACATAGGGAGCAAGACAGGGGAGAGAAAAGAAAACGAGATCGCGCTCTCGGGGACTCGCGACTACGCTCGTACGATCGTGAGGGTGCGAGAGAGGAAAAGGTAGAGATTTTTCTCTTCGGTGTGTGGTTTCTCTCGAAGAGAGACGAACAGCGACGAAAAAGGAGAAAAATCATTTCACGGGACGATCTGATTGATACGCGCGCACGTATTCTCACGTAAATACGAAGTGATCGAGAAGGTTCATCGAGATTCGATAAAGAACAGTTCCAGGGAGACCACCGTATACCGCGACATCGTTGCACGAATTTATCGATATCGAATCGAGCCGGCCATCCGGAAGAACACGTCGCCGGACAGGATCGTCGGGGTCGTCTGTCGTTGACGACCGTCCTGGATAGGTAAGTCTCAAAAAAAAAAAAAAAAAAAAAAAAAAACAGTGTGGATCGTTTGTTAGTGTGCGATGGAGAAAAGGGTGAAGGAAATTGTAATCGTATTTAGTGTCGAGCGCGTTCCCGCTGTATACGTTTGTTTCGTACGTAACGACTTTGTACCTCGATCTGGTGTTACCATAAGTGATCAAGATCAGTGATTCTGTTGCACTGTGCTCTCACTCGCGGACCACGCATCGTTCTCCTGCTCCATCGTTCGTCTTCGTCTTCGTGGATTTTACAAAAGAAAAGAAAAAAAACGAAAAACGAAAAGAAAGAAAGAAAGATGTGACAAAGAGAAAAATAACATAGTAACGAAAATGTGCGCCTCGCGAGAGGGATACGTTGATCCGAAAGTGTGCTCTCACAAGGGAATATTATACGTATACGGTTGTTACGTGCAAGGGATAAGAGGTCTTGGAAGAGTAATCGTTCGTTGTCGTCGAGCGATAATACGAACGATCGCTATATACGTGCGAAGTGATCCGCTTAGCTTTCAAACGCGATCGTGAGTCGTCAGAAGGGATCGATAAATCCGCGCCGGGTGTAAAATCGCTTCGTAACGGCTCGACGCCCGATCGAAATACACCTGTTACGTACACCTACGCGTTCCACGCAACTCGCGACAACTTTACGAACGGGAAAATAATTCGTCCCGTGGATTAGAAAGAAAAGAAAAGAAAGAAAGAAAAGAAACTTTTTCAAAAGGGATATGAATTTTGGGTAACGGGAATGGAAATTTTTTCGCCACGGGGGATACGATACGGTTAAAAGGGAAGATTTTCCTTTTAGGTGTGGGTGAGCGGTCGGAGGCTGGACCGGTTCGGAACGGAGTCAAAGAGGGCTCGGGCCTAAATAATTCAACGCGGCGGTACAATAGGTATGCGTGCCGACTTGCAGCCGTGAAGGCTAGCCGTACGTGCACGAACACCTCGTACAATTAAGAAACCGTGTCCGAATACCGAGGCAAACACGGTCGATGCGTGAATACCAACGACGAATCTCGACGTAACGCATCCGTAACACACAACCGAATCGATCGAACGGAAAATCTGGAAATCGGTCCGTTTTCCGACCCTTCAGCGGCGAAAACGAAACGAATATTTCGAAGATTCCTCGTCCAACTTCGCGGACTATACTTCGCATACCGATCGAATCTCGACCGACGAGTCGAGTCCGCAGCATTCGTCGTGAAGCGATCGAAATCGCTATCGAAACTTCTAAAACTTGGGGGTTTGGAAAGAAATTCCTTGACCGGGGAGATATATCTCAAAGATCCGAGTTTGCAAACTATTCGATAGGGTATGGATCGGTAGGTATCCGAAATGGGAGATCCGATCGGTCCCCCTGACAAACGGGGAAGGGGGGAGGAGTCGAAACGGTATCGATTTTCCCGAAGGCAGGTCCCAAGGAATATAAAAGTAGGGTCCGCAAAGGTGGGACGAACCTGGCATAATGAGTCAGAAGAAATTCCAGGGATCGGTGTATAATGGATCGCGGCCGAGAGACGAAAAATGTAAACTAGAGGGGAATCTAATGGATCGGCGCACGATCCTTCTTCGTATCCCGTCGGTCGACGTTCGTGTCCCCTTCGTTAAATCGAATATTTTCGATATCGAGGACGATGACGACGATGCTGGACGAAGGAGCAAGAGTGCGATGCGTCGTGTCGTTACAGAGCAGGAAGAGTCGAGCTCGAAAATATAACAAGTGAAACTCCAGTTTAATCGTAATTTCTTAATTTTAACGAATGCAATGACGCCGTAATACACGATCCGGATATTTCAAATCGATCAATAGTAATAACTTCTCGTCCTTCGACGAATTATTATTCGAACGGAGTTTTATCGTGAATTGGGTCGAAAACGAGGAGGCGAAAAGTTGGTCGATATTTCTGAGAATGGGGCCGAGGATCGGTCGGGAAGTATTCGTGCAGGGGGAGAACGAGATTCGCTCCCTCTTGCGGGGAATAAAGAGAAGGCGAATTGGTCACGGTCGAGGTACGTTGAAGAAGTTACGATTGCATTATGAACCGTGATCAGGAGTGTAGGCGAGCGTGCGCTCGTTTCTCGATCCGTTGGCATACCGTGAATCACCTTTTGCCAGGAAACGCCGGCTTTCTAATCAACGATTTAACTTTGCTTCTGCGTAGCAACGACGACCAATTAATTACGCGACCGCGCTCTTTATCCGCTAATTATCGCGTGGAAGCGAGCGGTTTTACACCGCGCTACGAATTTTTCATGAGCCTGCCTAGCCTCTTTCCAGGGTTCGATAACCGATCGTACTTACCCGTGTGCACCATATACATTTTACGATACACCAGCTTTTCACTCGACTTTTCATTCTCTTCCATTTGCCAGATCTATATATATATATATATAAGCTTTTTTAAGTTTTACTCGATGCAAATATTATAGGATACGATTTCGTTCGGGTCTAAAGCGATCCGAATCGAGCAGCACGATCGACATACGACAATTCGTGACACCGCGTCGATCGTTAAACCTGCCAAATTGAGTAGGATTATCGCGTTGCGTTAAATTGCGCATCAAACATCGCAACGGGATTTTGCATTCCTTCTTCGTGTGAAAAAAAAAGAAAAAGAAAAAATTCCAAACGAATCTAATCGGCGATCGCGAATTAAAAGATCGCAAACTCGTACGTACACCATACGTGCCTTGGTCGCGTTTCATACCTGTTCCAATCGATCGAAACGCTAAATATTACTCGAGGTGGCTAAGAGTTAAAACTTGCCTCGATATCACGAATCAATGCGTGCGATTCGCGTATCCGTCGTCGTGCCTCTGATTACTCTTTGCACACCGCCTCGACCGGCTAATTACTAAACGTTAATCACCGAGACCATCCTCCGGGCTCTTGGTCTTGCACCAGCCCGGTAACAGACAGACCGGGTTCACCTGCCTTGCTAAACGCATCCACGAAAACGAAATAGAGTAATGGAGTGTGTGTAAGAAGCTATCCATCCACGTTGCACGCGATCCGCGAGCAATAACCGTGGAGAATCGATCCGAACGGGAGAGAGAGAGAGAGAGAGAGAGAGAGCTTAATTGCGATCGATCGCGGAAGAAGACGAGAAGAAGGAAAGATCGTTTCTTTTTTTTTTTTTTTTTTTACGTAAGCCGATTTCGCATACCTCCGGTAATAATATCGTGAGACGAATCGAATAACGATCGAAAAGGGGAGGGAGTACGAAATAAGTAAGAAAGAGAAGAAAGGAGCGTAAGGGAGGATGAAACTCTCGTTCCCTCGTAGAGAGAAGAGGTAACCGTGGCAGGTTTTGAGTTAGGTGTGCCACGAATTAATTATCGACGGTAATAGCCGGCTGGGCTATAGTTGGCTCTCGGTTTTTCTTTTCTTCGCGTCTGCCTCACGTCCCCCTTTCGCAGAGAGGTGAACGTTACTTTTTGCTTCGAGCTCCAGACGCGCTCAGCTTTCTTTCGTTTGCCCGTTAGTGCCGTTCAGCTTTTCAAACCGTATACTACGGCGAACGATGTCGCACAACTTCTTGGCACGACACCGGCCACTTTTACACGCTTCGCCATTTCAAGCCTGCCCGTTGTTGTTGTTGTGTCGCTGTTGAATAATTAACCGCTGATTCCCGAACAAACGATGCATGTACGAGTCGGGTGATTAGCATTGAGGGAAGAGAGAAAAAGTCCGGCGAATTTTGCCCGATCGATCGATCGAAAAAAAGAGAGAGAGAAAAAAAAGAAAAATATCGTCGAGGTGAAAGTATACGCGCAGAAGAATCTTCGAATCTTCCGTTACGTGCATGCGCCATTATTTTCGACCTCCTCCTCTCCTCTCCGTTCGAATCACGTAGCCATCGGGCCCACACGAAACGGTAAAAACCGAGAGATGAGGATCGTGGTCGCGCCGCACGAATTCGGGTCGTGCGCGACTGGAGCGCCACGGTTTCGTCTGGTAAAAGAAAAAAAAAAAAAAAAGAAAACAATCTAACCTCTTCGACAGGCCGCCTTTCGACTCTTGGAATGTCTCGTTCTTCGAACGGCGGTCGTCTCTTTCGCGTAGCGAAATTTAATTATCGAATTTTTTATGCATTAAGGGAATGCTATCTCGATGTCCAGAGAGAGAGAGATATATATATACATCTCGTATACGTGATGAGAATTTTGAGAGTATCGAATTTGAAAAAAAAAAAAAAAAAAAGGGAAAAAGATTCGTTAAAAGATTCGACGATTTTTGATTTTATCCGACAAAAATTGTTCGAAAAATATTATTGATTCATTTATCCGTACATTCCGTGCAGATTCTCGATTAAATTCTCCTCTTTCGAAGAAGGAAAAAAAGGGAAATGGAAACGGGAGTGAAATGAAAAGTGAATTCGAAAACGATCACTGCGGTTACGTGGATTATAGAGTTTAACGAACGGTGGTCGGGCTATATCTTTTGAACGACAAACTATTTAGAAGCGATCGAGCATTAAAAGAGGCAGCGCTTCCTATCGGCTAGCTGGGTATATAGCGTTTCAAAAAAAGAACAACACCTGGACGGCTGGTCGGCCACTGGCCCCTACCTGGCCACTATTGAAAAAGGGCTATTAAAAATATCGAGCACGAAGACTCGACCTATCGGCCCGTGAAATCCTGTATTCAACGTGTGCTAAGGCGGTGTTCAAAAGAGGCGATCAATTATTCATTCTCCCTAAACGCACGAAACGGAACGTACGAAAAATTTAAGCGATACCACGGAATTCCCCCAAACTCTCGCCAATTTTTCAAACTCTTATATATTTTATACGGTTAAAAATTTATATTTTTACATTTCCTTTCAAACTGATTCATTTCTTTTTTTTTTTTTTTTTTTACTAACCGAAATTACTAGAGAAATATCGATATTCGTTAGATGTTAACGTCTTTCTCTAATGCGAAGAAAGAAGAAAAAAATTACTTCACGTATCGAGCACGAACCTCTCGTAAATTTTT